AATGAATAGATACATAGAGAAATCTGATATGTTCTGTCGGGATTCTTGTTGAAATAAATTTGCCATAGACAATGAACCTTTAAGCTTAAAGTGAACTTTGTGCTTTGTTATAAGCGCTGATGTATTACATAATTAATATACAACACATGCTGATCATACACAAATTGTAATGCTTAAAAACAGTATAGTTGTGTAGCTGACTATTCAAGATGTTGGTTAGTATAAAGCAACATACATCTGCATTTTTCTGTCATTAAACTCACTTATTGAACACCTCAATGGTAATTGTTCTCTGCTATTAGTTCAATGGTGCTGAGATAATTTTCTGTGCAATGTAACTATTCTTTCAAGTACATTTTCAAAACCGACTGAAAAAAGGGGTCTGGTGAGTACAGGAGTGCTGATATTTGTATTTCCCAAACAATCCCTTTCAGACCGTTTTAAGCAGACAGGTATCACAGAAAATGGAGAAAGATCCTGTTGCAGAGAAGCTATTCAAAATGTGCAAAGACACTTTCGCATTATCATTTGTTGATATTGAAAAAAACATGTCGAAACAGATTGCAGAAAAAGCAGGAAACGTCATCTTGCAACTGCATTTCGAGAGGATTCTTTCATTCTTAGGTGATACCTGTTAGCTTAAAAAATGCAGACGACTTTTTGGGATATAGAAATACCCACATTCCCCTAGTCTGGAGGAAGCAGTTTAGTGACAGTGTTCTGTAGCTTGTTGATTAACACCAACATGTGTTCCAGGTCTTTTTTTTCCGCAATCACCCTTTGTTTCTCACGGCAAATGACAACCTGCGTGGAATATGCAGCACAGCATCATGGGAGCCGCGCACAGTAAGGTGGAAAACAACAGCAAAATGCAGATGCCATCAGCTACCTCTTTTTGTTTAGAAAAACGAGCATGCAATTAAGATAGATCAGCTTCGCGTGGCAAACACAGAATGAGCCGATGCTCGTCGGAGTGTTCCATCATTACAGAGTAATTAACTAACCACAGTTTCTGCATCCATGAAGTATGCAATTACCATGCAGTGTTATCTTAACAGTGCTCCCATTACCCTGCTCAATCTGCTGGATAATTGCCCAAGTAAGTGTTCCTTTCCCCTGTTGCCACCCCCCACTCCTCAGTTGCTCTTCAATGTAAGCTGTCACCCACCCCCACCGCAACCCACCCTGTCTTCATGATGGGCTCCCAAAGTTCCTTACAGGGTTTGGGAGAGTCATTGCAGGACAGCATCTTTCTTAAGCCAGAGCTCCATAGAATCTTGCACCAACTCCATGGCTATAGTATAGTTCAGTCCACTTGTGCAGAACATGCAGAGGAATAAACCTGAGAAGGCTAGCTCCCAGAATCTTCTGGCAGGTAGTGGGTATTTATCCGTACTCATTATGACAGAGCTCTAGCGCACTTTGTGAGTCCTGGGTTTACATTTGGCTATAACAGCAAAGTAAGAGGGCAACACGTGTTTAATGGGCTTTTGCAGTACTATACAGTGGTTCTCAAACTGTGGTACTCTGGAGCACCCCCAGGTGGTACGCCAGATGACCCTGGAAATGTGTTGTGTGCACTGAAACATTGGGAATTAAAAATTGAATAATGAAAAAAAAAAGTTAATTGTTCGTCTGTAATTTACTTAAGCGGTTTCAGGAAGCTTGAGACGGGTTTTCATATTTTCTATTTTAATCAAATTAGTTTATGTGTCAAATACGCTGCCTACGTACTTAGCTATGTCGATACAGCGCGCGCAAATACTTGAGTGTTTGTACTCCTCTCAAGCTTTCAGAGAAACAGCTTAGGGCCAGATTCGCCAACAGAACAAATGATCGAAAATGAATACCTCACAAAAATCAAGTATTACACAGACAGCACTGCTAGTGTTAGCAAGCGTCGGAAAACAGCATCAAGGTGGTACGATCCAAATGATTTAAGTTGGGGATTTACTTACACTGGGATGGAAGAAAAGCCGAGACCACAGTGTGTCATATGCTGTGAGATTCTCAGCAATGAAAGCATGAACCCAGCACATCTGAGGCGGCACTTTACCACGAAACATGCGCTCTTGAAGGATAAGCATGTTGATTTTTTTCAAAGGAAACTTAAAGATATGAAGCAGTGCAAGTCCACCATAAGGAGCAGTGCCTCTCCAGTGCTGTTTTTATTATATGTGTGTGAATGTGTGTGTGCGCGCTCATGTTGGTCATTGAGATTTTCTGGGGTTCCTACTGTATGAGAACATGACTTGTAGGTGGTACTTGGATGCTTTGGTTTGATCAGGGGTGGTACTTGGTCCAAAAGGTTTGAGAACCACTGCTATAGAGCATTACTTAAACTGCAGATGCTACTATTAACTTGGCAGGACCTTTGATTAATGTAGCCAATAATACAATTTTAGGGTAAAATGGCTAAGTGGTTTAAGATCCCCCCGACATTTAATTTGGGATTTATCTATTATGAAGGAAACAAGAAGAAACATTCTGATTTAACATGGTCAGTCTCTTTAGGAGGGTGATCAAATGATTTGGGTGTTTACATGGATTATCAAAGCCCAGTTACAGTACAGATCTGCACATAGTGAGAACTATATTGATTCAAAGCAGGTGCTTTGCTGTAAATTTACAATTGATTATCATTTAGGGGTCAATGCGAGATAGTATGGAGATCTGGACATGTTTATTGATGAATGGGTTCTGGGGAAAGCTGCTATACTTCCAGCTCGAAAGATGCTTTTTTTTTTTAACAAGCGCTTTGCATCCACCACATCAGACTCACTCTTGTTTCTTTTTTTTTTGTTCCATTCAGGGGAGGAAAAAAAAAAAGAAAAGAAATCAAATCAGCATCCAGCTTCAAACCTCATGCACGTCAATCATGTTCAGAAACAGCGACGAGAAAAGATAGGACACGAGGAACACAGAAGACGCAACTTACTTTTGAGCTCTGCAGTGATTGAGCAAAACAAAGACAGAACACAGTACAAGTTTAAAAACCACAACTTACACAAACAGGTTAACTCTTAGACTTCTCTCGCTCTCAGCAGGGTGCAAGGTTGGGGCAGGGGTAGGGGTGGTCTTAACATTATGATTTGGGTGGAAGATGGTTTTTGGGGGTTATAAAGATTTGGATAAAACAAAAACATTCAGAACAAAAGGGTTACTGTCAAACTGCAGCAGGTAGAACAGATGTCATGACAGACTTGGCAAAGAACAGGGTTTAGGTTCCCTGCTTTGTTGTATTAAAACAGATGGGGCAGGAGCAGTTTACGTCCTGTGTTGCTTCATCATGATATTTATTTGCTTTTAAGGGAATTCCACAGAACTAATTGTCCTGCTGAGGTTCTAACAGCAGGAGTATTCCAGTAGGACCTGATTGAGAGGAAGTGTGTTGGGTGGGGGAAGTAAAACACAGGCGCACTGTGACAGGCACTAGTCAAGTGCTAGAGTAAGGATGGTGTGTTGAAGCTTGCGCAACATGAATCAACGTTCCCCAACCTAAGTTCCTCTTCGTTCAGGTCCTTCTTCTCTCTCAGGAAAAAGCAAACAGTCCAAAAGACAAAAGAAGATCTGAGCAGAAGCACCAAATCTCAACATGTTCAAGGGTCAGGATGAGATGCGTGTCAAAAAGAAAACAAAAAACAATGGCTGACATAAACTGCCCCTTCACCATTATGTTCAACAGAGCTGCTACAAAGGATATCTCACAGGAAGGTAGGAGAAAGGCATGATCTAGTCTAAAACACAGGGAGCAGTGCCTCCTTTAAAGGGAACTACTGTATATAGTCTATAACAATGCCAGACTCATACCAACATGAGAGATATCCATCAAAATTGATATTACACTTTTTTAGAAAGATCACTGTAATGCACTCCATAAACTTTTATGCACAATTTCCTTTTTGGGGGTGAATGCAACTCATATACTATTCTTTATATTCTAATGTTGTTCTAGACTTTTTACTTTTATGTTCAGGAGAGTGTTATAGGTGAAAATCTTTCCATTCTTTTCTCAGCGACATTACAGAGTACTAATTGGTTCTGTCACATCATAAATTACATTTGGTTACCACTAAGGATATGTTAATGCTTTTTAGTTACACAATTGCTAATTCTGTAAAAGTGGATTGCCATTTCTGGTGTCAATAAACCATTAGATGGTGCAGACACAAGTGGTTTTAGTCTCCTAAATTTATAATACTGCCAAACAACTTTTCCAATCTTCCATGACACGCACTTGGTTAATGATTGACCAATGTTGATCTCCTACTGATCTCGCCACGTTAGGCATGTACTGATGTCCTGTTCATACACTAATGGACATAAACACAACACATTTTATAGATACAGCTGTACGTTATACAAACCACTCAACGTTTGCTGGAGGTAGACTTGATGGGATTATTTTTTCTTTTTCTGATGTCTACAAATGTTTAATAAATGTGTACAAAACAGATTTTATTCTCCACTCTCTGTGTCTTCCAATGAAGACACAACTTGAATATCCTTAGTCAATACTGAATAATAGTATTATAATTTACTATAATAGTAAAGATTATTTTCAACTAGTGCTGAGATCTGAAATTACTGGACAGGCTGAATGGCCTCCTTCATTTGTAACCATTCTTATGTTTTTAACTGTAGTGTTGAACAAAAGGAGAGAAAAATGCTTTTTGAAAGCTGGCCTGCAGGTTTTTTATTTAAAAAAGAAGGCAATCCTTTGTGCATGACATGTGTGTGCACTCTGTCCATTCATCAACATGATTACATTCTGTCTCATGCATGCCCTAGAAGCTAGGATAGGTTCTGGGCCTATAAACCACTTAAGATGGGAAAGGATATTAAGCTTAACCTCCTGGGTGCTCTATAGCAGTTCATTGGGAAGGTAGTGTACTCAAGATGAACTAATCTTGAACCATGAGACTAAATCTCCTGCAGGTGCTCTACAGACAGGTTACTTGCTGCCTTGTTCTGGTCGTTGGCCAGCCCGGGGTACTTACTGGTGAATGGCCTGCAGGAACTTGCGCTGGTGTTTTCGGACTCGGGCGTGATCGATCTTCTTCACCAGCTTTGTGTGTTTGTAGATGAGCCATGTTTCCCTGAGTACGTTTGCAGCCGTGTTTTTGACCTGTAGGGGGAAAAAAATTGTTAAAATGGGTCATCTCCTGCTTGGCTCTGAATTGTAGACCAGTTTGCATTTAATGACCTTCATTCAAGACTGGCTGGCTGTGGGTTTGAGTCTCTGACACTGCATACACTGCTGTTGGACCCTGAATGAGGAATTGTACCCCAGTTGCTCAGCTATAAAAATGGGGACCATTATTATTGGGGGGATGGTCCCTGCAATGGACCAGTGTCCAATTTTACGTGAGATTCACAAGCTTTCTAATCCACTTAACGCTACAGATACCAAAATGAGCTCTATCCCAGTGATATCTGTTCCATTAAGCCACTGTGGTTTTAGTCTGGACTTCACTTTTACATTTTTACATTTTATTCAAACTTCACTATCACATACGCTGGCACTGGGACCTTGGGTTCTATTCCTGGGGTGCTATCCGCGTGGATTTTGTATGTTCTCCTCGGGTTTACGTGGGTTTCCTCAGAATGTTCCAGCCTCCTCCCACAGTCCAAAGACATACTGGTAAGTTAGTTGGCCTCTGTGAAAATTGGTCCTGCTGTGAGAGGGTTTTTGGGTGTTTCTGTCTATATGTGCCCTGTGATGGACTGGCGTTCTGTTCAAGGTGTATCGTGCCTCTTGCTTGTTTCTTCGGGATAAACGGTGACTCCCCCTCAACCCTGTACTGGATAAAGGAAGCTTTAAATGGACATTGGGATGTCCGGGTTTTCTCACTCACTCGTTTGCAGAGCTGGGTGTCCATCATGAAGTTATGGACATGTTTCTCGGCCTTGGTCAACTCCAACTTCCTGGCTACTACGGCAACCACCAGAGCAGTGCAGCCGGCTCCCTGCCGAAACGAGGCAGAATTATTCTTACGACACACAAACCCAAAGCGCAAAAATAAAAGTGAAAAGTCAGAACAGTTCTAGCTTGGCTTTTAGTAGCCATTTGTCTGGTCTTAAAAACAAGAAAAAGACCAACAGAACCAGCAGCTTACAGCTGGCAGAAAAAAAGCTAAAGAGGTCTAAAGAAATGCTTTGATCTGGTGTTTTATTTTCATGTATTAATGGAATCCCAATTTTTTAAACACATTTAAAATAAATATTATGTAGATAAAACAGTTAGCTTTTGTATGACAGTCAAAAATGGGCAGCATGGTGATACACTGGTTCTTTGTTCAATTCCTGGGGTGAGATCTGTGTGGAGTTTGTACAGTATGTTCCTGTGTTTGCGTAGGTTTCCTTTTAGTGCTCTGGTTCCCTCCTATGGTCCAGAGACCTGCTGATATGTTGTGCATGTCTGTGTGTCTTCCCTGTGTTTCCAGGGTGTATGATCAAAAGTTGTCCTATTAGTTTAAAGTTAAAAGCATCACAAACGTAGAATTCTCATCACACAGGGGACTTGATTCAGTGTATAGGCACACTAATTAGTAATGAACTGAACAGCATTTCTAGGATAGAATGATTTTTTTTAGTTATAGCCCAGAGAGAAGACATTTTCATTCTTGGCACTATTGTCCCTCCACAGAAACCCAAGATCGTTGCATGCAATCAGAAGAGAGAAGAGAATAGTGGATCACACAGGTGACAGGTGCAATGCGAGAACAGACAACCCAGGAAGAGCTGCAACTTTCTGAGCTCACGTTTTCAAGGTGGGTGGGATCTACCTACCATGATCCCCGTCAGTAGACACACACCCTTCCCGCAGTAAGTGTGAGGCACCATGTCTCCATAACCAATCGAAAGGAAGGTTATTGAAATTAGCCACATGGCTCCCAGGAAGTTACTGGTCACTTCCTGTTTGTCATGATACCTAGGCAATGAAATACAAAGACAAGAAACAAACACAAGTTAGAGTAGAACGTTACTTCCACTTACACAAGGGGAGCAGTCCCACACTAGCTCACATAATAACAAAGGGAGCAGCAAGCTCAAGGATGAAGCTTGACTGAGTCTGGTATTTGACTAATAACTCCCATAGAGAGGTTATGCATCTCTGTTTTCTCCGGTTCTGAGATGAATATTCTGTGACTACATCAGTGAAATTCGTCATCTTAGGAAAATTAAACAAAAGGCGTGAGGCCTAAGTCCAGGGCATGTCTCTCACATAAGGGACGTAAGACAACCAGTTCATACCCTTGCTACTCAGTTCATTTTAAAAAGCAAGAGAACATTTCGGCTGTGCTCGACTGATGAAAAGGTGAAGCAACGAATGGACAATACAGACAGAAGTGAGCATGCAGATATTTATGCCATGAAATAAATCATCGGCAATTTAGGAAGCAACCAGGGTGAGCGTTACTTGAGGACACAATAAAAAACAAAATGAAAAGACACCATTTTGGGGGAAAACACAGAATATCTTTAGAGAGGGTTAGAAAGGCTGGAATACCTATTTTAAACCTGGTTATGAAATCTAATGGACACTTTTAAGACTTAAAGAACGCATTTTATTTGAGAGCAATGCAGACTAAGATATTTTGAAATGTATGTGTAATGAGTCCAAATTCTGTCGGCAGAGATGCATTGGCGGAGATGCCCTGATATATGAATGCAGAGAAATATGGGATGTTTTATTGTAACCCCCAGCCGTGCTAATGACTTCATTCATAATCACGGGAGAGTCAAACACACTCCTGTCTTCACCTTCCTGAAAAAAGGATGAAACTGGATTCTGTGACAGATATGCTGAGCTCCACTGCTCTGCACTGGATTTCCAGAAGCATGTTCATCAGTGAGGTGGTGGATGAAATGTGTCACATTGGCTAGTGCAGACAAACATCTTTGTATCCCACACTTAATCAGCAACACAGGTGATCACATCCATTCTCATGCACTAAATTGAGAACAAATGATAGTACTTTATTATAGAGCTACATTACAAGGCATACAGTATATTAGTTCTTTATGACAGATGACCTGTGTTTAACACTAGTGAATGTGTAACCCATACTTGCTGGGTTTATTCAACAAATAAATACTTAACATATGTTTGATATCATTCTAGTATTAAACATTATGACTGACAAACTAGCAACACTACTCAGCTTATATCCAGTAATGGCAAACATGTCTTATGATGTACAAACTATTACCATATACTGTAGGTCATCATGATAAAAATGAATAATTCTTTGCCCTGTTTAAAAGGTGTGAGAAAAATGAGACTAAATAACTTTTTTATAAACTCTAACATATGCTTTTCCTCATCAAAACATGTACTTGTGCGCCTGAGTGTTATCCAAAAAAGTAATTTTCTATGAGTGTTGTCTAAGACTTATGTCACTAGCTACTGTAACTCTGACTAGTTCCCCAAGTAATTTTCAGCAGTGACTAAAGTCAGTGCAAACAGTCAGTCTCAGATACAGTATTTCCTCTGAAAACCAACAGTTTAGTTTATAATCTAAATGCCCTTACCCTTCCTGAACAGTAGGTTTCTGCATTCTGCACCTCTGAACTATAGAATAGAGGCTGGAGGGTTATTGATCGACTCAATCAGTAAATGCTCACTTGCAAGTTTGAAGCCTGGGTCACTATCTGCATGTGGCAGATTCAGTGTGCATCAGTGCACAGTTGGCTGTGCATTGCTGTGGGCAGGGCTGGGCTTGCAGTGATGTCAGCAAGAGCCGTGCAGCCCCTCCTGTCAGAGGTAGCTCTCCTGTCGAGCACTATGGTGTATGAGGTTTATCAAAAGATGAACGGATCAGCGGGAGGGTATATCAGAGGACCTTATTAACATACTGTATCATATTCTTTCCTAGGAAATACTGCATCACTGTTAGAGAGCTGCATCATAAAACAGCTGGAATTCAGCAGAAAGTGAAAACGGAATTGAACTCCAAAATGTGTGCACAGCCTTGTTCTATGTTTACGATCTGAACAAACTATAAAATAAAGGTCCATTGATTTATCTGACGATGGCACTCAACTCAATGGAAATAATGCGGTTATGTTTTTATCTTCGCAATGAATGTGAAGGAAAATATTATCATCTTCACGTTAAGCACAAACACATGAGATTGTCCCTTGCTGTTATTTATGATTGAAATATTTATATTGTGCTGACTGTAATGGGCTCACTGTATGGCACAGGTATTTTTAGAGCAAAAGTAATTACAATATCACGTGAAACCTGTCCTGCATTATATACTGTATACTGTGACCCTTGTGAAAAGGTTATTGAGTGAACTTTAAAATGTATTTGAACATAAAAAATCAATATATGTTGTCACAGCACTGCTATAACACAGACTGTAATCTTCATCAAACTTTTCTAGGGATGTGTGTGTTTTTTTTAACGGGAAAGTGATTAGGTGCTTTTGCTGCATAATCAGATTCTAATCTCACCCTTCCCTTCTGTTTTAATTTCCTTTCCGAGAGGTTTGAAAGGAAACAGCCCAATCAGAATTTCAAGGCATCTGTTGCTTTGCAGAAATGTACTGCAGTCTTGCCCTGATTAAAAAAAAATACTGCTATAGTGATGCAACATGCCAAAAAGTCCTCATTAGGAAGTTCTGCCAAAATCAATAGGCTGCATTGAGCACTAAAATCAAGTCAAGTATTTGCATTAGTGATTGTTTTCTCTGAGATCTGAGATAAAAGATGATGTGTTTGGAAAGCATCTTTGCATTGAATGCAACTGGCTTAGCTTTAATCGCAGAATCCCAGAGGTACGAACCTCTTCATTGATTAACTTGCATGCGTGACCTTGGGCCCCAATTTGATCATTAACCCATTAGCTTTCCGGTGAGCGTGATCATAAAAAAAATATCTAAAGTGTGGGGATTGTATAGAATATGGAATTATATATAGAAAATATAGAATTGTCAGATATATCTTCATCAAGGATTGAGGTAATCTGAGCATGATGTTTTGTATTATCTGGAGGGAAACAGAGGGTCCTAGAATCCTACTGTTTGTGTGGTATGTTTCAATCATTTGCTGCAGAAAACCTGGAGAAAAAACTCTGATTGATCTAATTATGGTCTACCAAGTCACTGGGAGCGACCTAGCAACTAATTTGCCTCTTGCTAATGGACATAGAAGGAGGTGCATTGAGCTTTGAGGTAATCCACTTAATGTCAGTGAATGTGGTTTTGTCCTTGTAGTAAGGAAACACAAATGTGGAATAAAGAAAGTCTAACTGCTCCACATCTCAGACAGCATCTGTATCATCCTCAGGTGACATGATGTGCACTTGACCTCCCACCAACTGTGGAAAATGCAGATGGTATTTTGCCTAAGAGAATCAAGAGAACAAGAGTGGTAAAACTGCGTAGTTGCAAGATGTGAGAAGTGTTGGAGCAAAACAATTACAAAATAAACATGAATTATTGTGTCTTCTGTTCAGAAACTAGCAAGGTCCGGTAAATGGATGGCACAGCATAACAATCATTTATCACAACTAATTCTTTTCCTTGAACAGGACATTAGTCAAACCCCAAAATATTAGTTGTGTTTTAGTGACTCAGAGTCCAGGATGGACAGGACAATCCTGATCTCATGAGCTTCTCTTGTTATTGTTAATGACCTGTCTTGGAGGGCATGTCATTGGAAGAACAACTGCTTTACCCAGTCTGGAAGTCTTGCACAACATCAAGGCATGTTTTAAGGTTTTGACCAATCATCACATGTGGGAGTGCCCAACTGTTAGTTACTTCCAAAGTGCTCACTTGGTGTTCTCATTTAATCATGTGCGAAATAGCCTTCTACATCAGATGACTCAGAATGGATGCCTACTGAAGCTCACGTTCTTCAAATGGGCACAGGCAATTGTTTCTCCCCCCGTGTATGCCTCCCAGACAGCTCACTCTCAGAAATGGGTCCATGATGTGATCACATCCAAACCCATCTGTCTGTCATTAGGATTCAGACTGCACTCCACTTGTGTTCTGAAGGCATGCTCAGATCTCAAGAGACTGGTGCCCATGGAAAAATGACTGTCTTTGGTCATATAGGTCTTTGTGGAGGACACCCCCAGTCTGACATGCAAAAGCAGTAGATATCATGCTAGCGACAAAAAAACTCCTCGGCCTGCATGCTAAGAAAAGACAGTATATTGAGAGCAAGGAAAGTGAAAAACAGAATCAAACAAGATCACACTCTACGGTTTAAATTCCAGGAAAACACAGGATAGCAATATGTTCAAGTGGTCCTTCACCTACAATCTTTATCAACATATATATTCTTCAAGAATGTGGCCTTGCGGAGGAATGAGCTGCCTGGTGGCAGGCACTGATAGTGCAGCTGTGATACGATGTGAAATCTGAATATTGTGTGCCCTAGGGACAGTGCTCAGCGGAGTGTGTAAAGTGTCCAAAGGCTATCTCCCGATTGAAGATATTTATAATGCAGCCCTTTTGAACTGCAGGTGTCTTTTCAAAGCAGTTCTTACTCCTTTCAAAAGCAGTGGCAAATGGGTTTAATCACCAATGGTAATTTCCTTTCTTGCTTTGGAAAGATCAGCTTGTTAATACTCTATGCGGATATAAATACTATGAATGCAATATGTTGTATTAACATGTGTCTGGTTGTGTTGCTGTGACTAGAACACCAAATAGCATTCAGGTCTCAGCAAGACATCTGGTCCTGCTGCTGAGTTCTTAAAGTTTCAATTATTAACCGCTGTGAAGATCGATGTGCATATAGAGGCGAGTGGAGAATTAGTGCACTAGCCTTTCAGCTCTGGGGACATCAGCTCATCAGGAGCTCTGGTCAGAAGTCCCTGTGAGCATTAAAAAAAGTTTAGTTTGAAACACACACAGAGTCTGATTAAGAGCTAAATGTCAGCAGTGTGGAGTAGTGGTTAGGGTT